GGATTCTGACTAATTCCCACTCAAAATAATTATGCCAGGCTAAAAATGATCATGAAACAAGACATTATTTGAGCTGAGAACTCCTTGATTTCTTTCCTTGGATGAATAAAATTTTTCAAGTGGTTTTTCAACTCTTGAAGGAACTAAAATGAGGCATCGAGAGAAGGACCAGTGGAGTTGTACAAAAACTCTGCAAAATGACACCAGTGAGACTACACAGTCCTCAAACAGCACCACAGAAAGCAAATCCCAGAGTTTGCAAATCTGTACTTGAGCTACACTTAAAATAAAACACTCTTTAAATCCATGAGCTTCACCCCCTGCATCCCATCCACGAGTGTGTAAATGTGTTTTCAATTAAACAATAGCACTCGAGATGAAACATTGAGCCTGGACCTTGAATAGGCTTTCAAGGAAAGGAGTCTGACTTAAACAGTCTGCTTTTTGTTCCTTCCCCTGCTAGTGAAGAAAACCCAGCTCAGCAGGGAATAGGGGTGGGAGTTTGGGGGGAGAAGCAGGAAGAAGAATGTCAATCCCTGCCACTGCACACCAGAGAAACCCAGAGCAAATGCACATTAAAATGGAATCAGCTGTAAACTCAGTTTTAAACATTATGCTGGTTTCTCTGTTGGAAGAATTAAGCACAGATTTTGGGGTTGGAATAACAGAGAATGTAAGTTCATGCACATATTTACATGTCATGGATGGTCTGGTTGGACTGGAGCTTTATTTCTCATCAAATCCCTCCCAAGAAAGTTTTCACGCAAGTGTGTGAAAAGCTACCCAAAAAGTACCACAGTGACCTGACAGCTGCTCATCCAAGGACACAGCCAGGGAAATGCAGTGGCAGAATGGAAACCTTCCAACTCCAAAAAAAGTCCAAAAACTTGAAAGAGGTAGATCCCAGCAGGGGTTTGCAAAGGTCAGCCCTGGTTTAGATCACCAGCAGCACGAGAGACACTCCAAAGCTTCCCAGTTCTCCTAAGACAGCATTTTCTGAGCTGTAGCTGTTCTTAATCCACCAGCTCTGATGTCCTGGGACTAAATAACAGTGATGAAAATCTGGGAGCAGCATTTAAAGGAAGTCTGGAGAGGAAACTGTCAACACTGAGGCTCAAATATTTATATCCTTAAAAAGTATGTGCTGCACCAGTGCCTGAAAGATGGTGAATCATGGAATGGGGTTGGAAGGGACCTGAAAGATCATCCTATTCCACCAGCCCAGGTTGCTCCAAGCCCCATCCAACCTGGCCTTGGACACTTCCAGGGATCCAGGGGCAGCCACAGTTTCTCTGGGAAACCTGGGCCAGGGCCTCCCCACCCTCCCAGCCAGGAATTCCTTCCCAATATCCCATCTCACCCTGCCCTCTGGCAGTGGGAAGCCATTCCCTGTGTCCTGTCCCTCCATCCCTTGTCCCCAGTCCCTCTCCAGCTCTCCTGGAGCCCCTTTAGGCCCTGGAAGGGGCTCTCAGGTCTCCCTGGAGCCTTCTCTTCTCCAGGTGAACCCCCCCAGCTCTCCCAGCCTGTCACATAATCAGCTTATCTGTTCATCCTCAGTGGCTTCTACACCTGGCAATTCCTAATTTATCAAATATAAACCTTTCTCTGACTGAGCACAGGCAGAGGCCCTCAGTGGGTTTCATCCCTGGTCACGACAGTGCAGGAAGAGCAAAGATCCCTCCATGGGAACCCCCATCTCCAGGCCCACTTTTCTGCTGGGACACAGCAAGTCTCTGCATTCTGCACCAGGAACACCAACTGCCCAGGGATCAGACACTTTGATGGGCACCAGGTTCTCTGCTTTCACTGAACTCCAATCCACAGAAACACCAGCAGCTTCTCATTCAGCATCTGACCTTCTGGGAACTCATTTACACCAACAGCTTCATTACTCAAATTAGAAGCACAAATTGCACTGAAAAGGATTCTGTGCAAACCCCAGAATTCACACACAGTCTTACAACATCTCAACAAAAACCACCTTCTGACAAAATCTTCATGCAAAAATAGGACCAATTTCCATTTCTAATCACAGAACTCAGATTTTGCAGAACAAACATCACTGGGATGCAGCAAGTGGCTGCCAGCAAAGAGCCCCTCATTCCACTGCTCTGCTCCCAAGGACATTTGGAATAATGTGGTGCCCTTAAATTGGTTTGGTTGAAGGTCTGGCCGGATCCAGAGCAGGGCAGTAAATGGATTAAACCCTGACTGACTATTCATCAGATTTTAGAGAGGCCAGCCCTGAGTTTATTTCTAATGACGAGGGCTCAGCATCATCCCAGGGCTCAGGGGCTGACAGATCAATCCCCTATGGATCTTTTCCTGCTCCTTTCTCTCATCTTTCCTGCAGAATGCAAAGACAACTTGATTATTTTTGCATTTCTGAGGCACAGAAACTGAGCACGTGCAGTTTTCCCATGAAATATGCTCATAATTAACACACAAACCATCTCTCCATGAAAACAGCCCAGTGTTAGAACAAGGAAACCTCCCTGCAGTTCCAAAATCTGGATTTATTTAGCTTTACATTCTCATATTGGATCACACAATCCCATGTTGGGCTATAAAACTCAGCCCTAAACAGAGAGCAGAAACGAGGTCTGTCCCATCAGCCACGTCACGGATCCGTGTGGAATAAGTTACAACTCCCAGAATTCCCACCAGTTTTGCCCCCACTTGGACACCAAGCGAGGAAGGGTGGGAGGGAAGCAGGTGTCAGAAATAGGGAAGTCCCCCAAAGGCTTTGCTCTGTCCTGGACAGGTAACTCCAAATGCCTGGAGAACACGTGGCATTGCTGCAGTTCTCCTTCCACTCCAGAGGGACGGGACACTCCCAAGGGGCTTTTGGAGGCTCCCATTCCCAGGGGTTCTAAGGAAAGGCAGATTATTGCTGCTGAGGCACAGTTACCTCGCAGGCCCAGCTCAAAGCCTAATTAGAGGCCTCTTAATTGATCCCCAGCTTGGAGGAGCCCAGAGCTGGTAAAGGGTAGATGAGTGCAGGAGGTGTCAGCACAGACCATAATTCTGCCACTCCTTTGCTCCACTGAGGGCCCAGAGACTTATTTTATCTTAAAGGAATGAGCAGAAGGGACACAGGAGTTCTCAGTGCTAAAAACCAGGGAGCTTCTGTTTTTAAGGACTGTAAATTCTGGAGAAGCTTTTATTAACAGCAGAAAGGAGAGATTTATCAGGTATATTCCAGATATATTCCCTGTGTGTGTCCATCCATCTCCAACTGATCCTTTAGGAAACAAAGGCCAGGCTTTTATCAGATAATCACAATCAACTATTTAAAATAAATGGAATAACTAAGAACAGGAGAACACTTCCAAAACACAACACACAGACAGACACTTCCATGTGGACTCCCCATCCCTGGAAGTGTCCAAGGCCAGGCTGGACAGGGCTTGGAGCAACCTGGGCCAGTGGAAGGTGTCCCTGCCCATGGCAGGGGTGGTACTTAATGCCCCTTCCAACCCAAACCATCCTGGGATTGGGATTCTGTGATTTCTTGGATCAGAAAATTAATTCAGGAGTTTTACAAGTTGCTCTAACTCAGAGGAACAACTTTCCTTCCTTAAGGACTCCTGTCCATCCCCTTCTCTCCCTCTAACAATCAAATGCCATCTCCAAACCCCAAACCCATTTATTCCAGAAGTAAAGGCTGGTGGAAAAGCAGTTTTATGCAGCTTGTATCTCTCAGAGATTTTTGGTTCATTACTCCAGAACTGCCCCTCTAAAGCACTCCTGGATCTATACACAGATTTTTACTTCAACATTTACTTCTCTAAATTCAGAGTTGATTGAAAAAATGAGAGAGACAGAGAGAAAGGAATGTTAAAATGCTGCTTTATGATTTACAAAGGCAGCTTGAATAAGTTTTAGTTCAGCTTCATTAACAAAAATGTGCAAGTTCAGGTCTTGTCTCTATGACAACTCCAGAGGGAGTGGAATGATTCCCTTCCTCTCAAGAGCCTGGAAAACTGAATAATTCAGAGAGGAAGAGATCCTCAGTCAGACTATTTACAACTGTTCAGTTCTGCGAACACCTATTTAAAGGCAATGCCTGTGGAAGATTTTTGGAGAAAGGATGTCTTGTTTAAGACAAAACTTCTTTCCTTGTTTAATTCAGAGGCCAGAGAAGCTCCAAAGGGACATTTGAACTTTCACTGAGTCTTCAGCAAATAAGAAAACCAGACCAGCTCTGATATTTGTAAGATGAAGATAATTAGAAAAGAAAATAAGGCTTTGATTTAAAAGCCATGTGAATCTGGGCATGCAGGCTTCCAAAGGGAAAAAATATTTCTCCTTGGACACTTCCAGGGATCCAGGGGCAGCCACAGCTTCTCTGGCCAACCTGGGCCAGGGCCTCCCCACCCTCCGAGCCAGGAATTCCTTCCAATATCCCATCTATCCCTGCCCTCTGGCAGTGGGAAGCCATTCCCTGTGCCCTGGCACTGCATCAGCAGGTCTGAGTCTGGCAGGTGGAGCAGAAACACCTCCAATTCTGCAGGAAAAACTGGCACTGTGGAAACATCTGTGCTGTGCCACACACAGGGATGCACATCCTCATCTGGCTGAGCTCACCAGGAGGAGGAAAACTTGCAAGCTTTCAGTGACTCCAACTCCAGTGGAGACACTCTCTGCCAGTCTGAGCTCCTGTAACAAATCCCATCCTGCCCAGGCTCTCCCATCACAACATTTTCAACGCTGCTCACTGTGCTCAGCAATTGTGTTAGTCCAGTTCCAACAAAGCTGCAAGTGTTGTCATTGGGAAGGAGGGTTTGAAACTGCCAAATTTACAAATGTACAAATGCCATTTGCAAAGGCTCCCTGCTGCCAGGGCCTGAGCTGGGCACCACAACACTCAGCCCCAGCACTGCAGCTTTGCCTTTGGAAAGCACGTGAAAGGAGTTGTGATATCACAGAATCCCAGAGCCATCAGGGCTGGGAGAGACCTCCAGGATAACTCAGTCCCACCCCAGCACCTCCAGGATCACCCCTAATCCATGTCCCCAAGGGCCACATCCAGACACCTCTGGAACACTCCCAGACACAGGGACTCCACCACCTCCCTGGGACACTTATTCCAAGGCCTGACCACCCTTTCCAGCAGCAAATTTCTCCTCCTGTCCAACCTGAGCCTCCCCTGGCACAGCTGGAGGCCGTTCCCTCTCCTCCTGTCCCTTGTTCCCTGGCAGCAGAGCCCGACTTCCCCCGGCTCCCCCCTCCTGTCAGGGGGTTGCAGAGCCAGAAGGTCCCCCCTGAGCCTCCTTTGCTCCAGGCTGAGCCCCCCCAGCTCCCTCAGCCCCTCCTGCTGCTCCAGCCCCTTCCCAGCTCCGTTCCCTTCCCTGCACACGCTCCAGCCCCTCCATGTCTCTCTTCCATGAGGTTCCAGAACTGGACACAGCCCTGGAGGTCCCTCAGCAGTGCCAGCACAGGGGACAGTCCCTGCCCTGGGCTGTGCCCACACTATCCCTGATCCAGCCCAAGTGCCTTTGGTCTCCTGCCTCCCTGGGCACATCCAGGCTTGTGTCCATCCCCTGTCACCAGCACCCCCAGGGCCTTCTCCAGCTTTCCTGCCACCCTTTCCCCAGCCTGGACTATTCCAGGGGGTTGGTGTGACCCAAGGGCAGGACCCAGCACTTGGCCTTGTTGTCCCTCACACCATTGGCTCATCCATCCCCCAGATCCAGCTTGTCCAGATCCCTCTGCAGAGCCTTCCTGCCCTCCAGCACCAACTCTGCCACCCAGCTTGTGTCACCCACATCCAGATCATCAGTAAAGACATTAGACAGGACCAGCCCCAACCCTGAGCCCTGGGGACCCCAGCTGGATTTGGGTCCATTCCCACCCCCCCAGTCCCTGTCCCAGTCTGGCCCAGTAAATGTCACTCTGCTGGAGCCGCCCTTCTCCCACCCCATCCCATACTCACCATATCTGTGCTAACACTGGCTGAGGTAACCCAGACTGAAAAAAAAAGTTCCTGGCTTGATCACCTGGAAAATAAATAGGACATCTATAAATACCTGGCAGAGGGGAGGGGAGATCAGGACTCAAAAATATCTGTAAGAGAAGCAACAGGAAAACCATAAATAGTTAATGCCACACTTACATAACAGAGTATGAGGCCAAAACATATTTGGGGATTTGTAAACCCACCACATATTTCCAACAGGCACCTGCTGGAACAGGGAGCACCACCCAGAGTCCCCTGGGAATGAACATTTAGGGAAACTCCTGGCTCACAGCCCCCAGGCTGGGTTAAAGGCTCACATGGAATCACATGCCTTGTGGAAACAAGAAAAGTTTTCCTTCCAGGAAAGTCTGTACCAATATAAACTCTACCCTGGATTTTTTGGAAGCGCAGTGCCAGTCAGACAGCACAAACTAAATAAAGTGGTAAATAAAGTTGAATAAAGTGATAGGCCACTATTAAAGTAATTAATGCTGTATTTCAAAGTCATTTTCCAACTATCAGTGAAAAGTAAGGATACCAAAACAATGACAGAGGGATTAGGCACTTGGGGATGCTGTGGCCTGTAAATGAAAGTCATGAACAAATCAGAAACAGGAGTAATTATCAAAGGAGGTCAATCAAAGTGGTAGGATTTTGTACCATATGTACCATTTTGTACCATGGACCAGGAACAGAAACCATGGGGTTGGACACTCAGGGGAGTGTGGATGTGAGGAAACTCCACTGAGGAGCTGATCCTGATTTCCCACTCTAGAAATCTTCCTGATGGATGAGAGAGCAGGAAAGCAAAACACTTCTGTACCTTTCATTTCAATTGAGCATCACTGGAGAGGGATGTTGGACAAGGGAGAGAGGGACAGGACAAGGGGGAATGGCTCCCACTGCCAGAGGGCAGGGAGAGATGGGATATTGG